GAAGGAAGGAAGGAAGGAAGGAAGGAAGGAAGGAAGGAAGGAAGGAAGGAAGGAAGGAAGGAAGGAAGGAAGGATCCACTCTGTGTGAGGTGAAGAAAATTATGAGACTTTTCTCTGTATATAAATATATATAATTTTTCCTTTTGCCTTAAACAGGAAGTTCAAATTACCACAGATCTTACTTGCTAACTATTTCTGTGGCTCTTGCCCTTTAAGCAATCTCTGTAATTGTATAACTGTTCCTCATAGAATAGGAAGCATTAAGAGAGTTTACAGGGGCTGGGAATGTTTGCAGAAGGTCATATATCATGGGGACCAAGTGCTTCAAGTTATGAGATGACATAAATGGAAGGCGCATTTGCTTTAGGGGGAGGGATATCATTGCCTTCCTTTGAATGGTGCCTTCTGCTGCATGACACTTCAAACATGCCATGCCCGAAACCAAGATTTTCATAGGCATCCAAGAAGCACCCCAAATAATGACCATCCAGGCAATACATCACCAGTTCTGAGACCCCAAATACTAAACAGTGAGGGGATCCATTTGAGTATGGTGGAGTGAAGGGCTGGCACAGATAACATTAGAGGGCCAAAGAGTAACTTAGGCTCTACAGGTGCAGATACCCTTATTTTTCCATTTTTAGATGGGCATTAGTTTGATATTGAACTTGCAGGCAGGTGATTGTACCTACTATGCCACAGGACACATGATTGTGACAGACATATTTTATAAGGTGTTTATTTAAAAAAAACTAAAATGAAGTGCTGTATTCTATAATAGAATATATAAAATGTATAAATTATTGGAAAAATAATTTCTCATGGTATTAATGGCAATGGTCAGGAAAGCCTATTTTTTTAAAAGTGCTTTATTGTTTAATACTACCTATTTTACATTTTTTGGTAATCTCCACTGCTAAACTTGCAGTCTTGGAAATGTATAATTATCATCATCATCATTTAAAATTACCCTTTTAATAAAATTTGCATTTTAGGAGTAAATCTTGGTTTAGAGGAAAAGAACAATCGTTTATTGGCACTAACAGTCTTATAGAAGCATTATCAAAGAACTTACCATTAGGTAAAGACTTCTACAGTACATAGCTATGACTTGAGAAGGCGGAAACATAAGCAGGTATTGAGGACTGATTACAGAAGCTTTTGTTTTATCGCTTTTGCGATATTCATATACTGCATTTCGTGGATTTTTGTTCACTTTTGGGAGCATACTAGACATTTAAAAATAAATAACAACATAATTTAGAAACACTGATATATCTCCATATTATTCACCGGGCGATAAGACTGATTTGTCCCCTTCCTTACCTGCCCGGACACCGGCTCCCTCCTCCCTGCTGTAGAACTGCTACGGAGCGCCATGTAAGGCAACAAGCGTCCCGTAGTTCGCGCGTTACTCTGCATCGCGGGGACAGCCTCTACTGAAGTTGCTGGCTCGGGTGTCAGAAATGGTGGGCGGTACTGCAGCCATTTCTCACAAATAGTGCAAGATCGGGCCTGGCTTGATGCCCCTCAGCTGAGTGGCTACATCGAACATCGAACTGTTTCCCTGTTGAGCTCATAATGCCCAAAGCTTAAAAATCAAGACCGTCAGCTGGAAAGAGAGGACTGGATCTGACAGAAAATAAGCTTCATTTTCTTTTAAGGCTGAAATTTGGAGGTAAGCGAAGGGTACTTCTTTAGCCCTGGAGATCAATAGCGGAACCGCAAAAACTGTATATGAGGAAATCTTTAGAATTTGTATAGTTAAGGCATCAAGATTTCTTTGTGGTGAAGTTTCACCTGTGATTCTCCATCAGCTTTCCCCAGTTTTCTGAATGTCAGATATATAGTCACTGTACTTTCCAGAATTCCCAGCCATTAGCCATGCTGTAGTGGAAATCTGGAAGCTGTAATTACAATATAACTGGAGGCCATCAGAATGGGGAAGTTTGCTTTAGTACTTACAGCATTATTTATTTTTATTAATAAAATGTATATCCTGCCACAATCACAGGACTCTCAGCCATTCACAAAGAAAATACAATCAAATATAGAAACATAAGCATTGACTGATTTATTATGTGCCATCAAGTTAGAGGCAACACTTAGAGACCACACAAATAGATTTTCTTCATGATGATCTGTCCCTAACTTGGCCTTCCAACAGTGCACTTATCGCCACTGTAGCTGAGTCCATCTGCTTGTCATCAGTCATCTTCTCTTTCTTTCCACCTTCCCCAGCATTAGAACCATCTCCAGAGTTAGGTCTTCAGATAGTCTCTTCCTCCACCCATGCCTCTCCAGAGAAACTTGGCAATCATTCTCTGTCAGTGCCAATAGCAGTTATCTATTGGTTATCTTTTCTTTCTTTTTAGTTGTGTCTAGAAAGAAGGGTCCTGAATTGCCCAATACGATACATTTTCTTCTGATTTTCAGTGTCCTAACAAGTGAGTAAATGGATTGGATAATTTTTATGTTTTTTTAATAACGATTTTTGTGCACTATTTTGTCTTAGATATCCTTTGGTAAATGTTCACTGTATTGTTTTAAAATGATGACTACATTAGGTAAACACTACACTATTTGATGTAATTAGTTTTTTACCTTTGTAAAAAAGACTAATATTTAATTCTGACAGGAGACATATCCGGGGCAAACAGCCTTTGTGTTTTCAGTACAACAGGGATCAGATATTATTCTTTCTCCCTGAAAGCTGGGTGTAATGTGACACTAAAAATATTCTCCCATGATTAATGTATTCAGTTTACAGTTTTTTTCTTGATGCTGTTTTCAAACCACAGACTTCATGGCAGAATAATTTGGCCTAATTTTTGGATGCTTTTGCTTTTTTCCAGCCCCTCCTTTTTGTAACATCTTGTCTGCTGAAGAATTTTGGGGAACACCAAAGCTTGCATGTTCTTTTGGGTCATTTTGGTCAGTCCCAAGAAAAATATTTTCCTGTAATGAGGACTGGAAAGATATTCTGAAATTAAGACTTTGTGAAGTTTGCTTCTTCTGAGTTTACATACTGCACTATGCAAACATTTACTTAACTGTGGTATGCCACAGTTACTGGGTTTATGCAAAATGAATGGAATATGACTTACAAATAGCAGTAGTGGATTTACACAGCATGTTTGCTATGTTCATACAGTAAATTTGTGGCATGCCTTATTGTGTCATCTAAAGCCAGAGGATTTGTCTCTGTGAGGCCAGGCATGAGGCCATTAACCATGATTTGTAACCAATGATATAGGTTAAGAAGACTGCTAGCCCCTTGTTAAATAAATGCTTGACTGACAGGCAGCTCAGTTTGCTAGTGCCTGAAACAGTCCATCTGCCTATGCCTGTCAACAGTGCCCCCAATCCCCTTGGTTTTGACAGAGCAAGAGAAATAGAGCCTATGAGAGAGTGAAAAGAGCATGGGCAACAAGAGAGATGAGTGAACAGTTGAGAGAGAGGGAGCAGCACAGCAAGGGTTGTTGCAAGTGGCAGCACAAGAGACAGATGAGGAATAGGCAAGTTGGACAGATGAACCAGCAAACCAGATAGATAAGTGAGAGATTGAATGACAGAGAATGTGTGTGAAAGAAAGATGAATTAGAGAGATGGGAAAGGCATATGAGAGAAAGGCAAGTAACAAAGGGATGAAAGCAAGAGAGGACCAAAGAGATGAATGAGTAAGCGAGACAGACGAGTGAGGGACCTGTATTGAGGTGAGAGAGTGAGAACCCAATGACTGAGAAGTAGGTAGGTGAGTCAGAAAGTGCCATCTTTCAGCCATTTTTGGCTCTTCCTCAGCACAACTGAATGTAACAGAGCATTGCTGTTATCATTCAAATGATGTATTAGCCTCCTCAATTGCCAAAGCAGTCCTAATTCCTGGGAATTGTTCTGAGCTTGCCAAAACAAGCATTGTTACATGGAAAAATAGTGCCATCCCTGAAATTTGACAGCAAACCGTTAATGCCAATGCAGATTCCTAGATAAAAAGAGATGACTACCAAGAAATGCATTTTGGGGTGGCCAATTTAGGAGGCATTCTGGCAACTCTGCAAAACAATAACAAAAACATTGATAAAAACATTTTTTCCATTAATCATTGTAGACATTGTTCTGTTATGTGAGGTCTGGAACCAGTAAGACTGAAGGAAGTTTAACAGCCTTTATATACAGCAGCTGACTTTATTAAGAAAAATATTACACAACCACATCGGTCTGCTAGGGCATTTGCCTGACTCTCTGACCCAGGAAATCCCTCTTTTGCTCACTCCTTTTTAATCCCTGAACTATAATTTCTAATATAGACATGAACTACAATAATAGGCTATATTAGTATTTTTATGAGGCCGTCAAAGAGCCAAACAATCCAGCTAACTATTTTTATTTAATATTAATGATCTAGCTAGGAATATTTGTGAGCTGTTTCAATATCTATATACTATGCAGTACTTACCACGGTAACTGCAGCACTTGGGACTCTATTGTCAAAACTTGACACCCCATTTTTTACTGGATGAGTCTGATAGCGCTTTTTCTGACTAACAAATGTTATTAAAAGGCATTAGCTGGAGCTCACAAAAGCTTATGTCTTTTAATAACATTTGCTATTCAGTAAAGGGGCTACTAGACTCCTGATTTTTTTGCCACCATAAATATAAATTTACCAAATAAATAACTATATAAATAAATATAAACATGGCCCTCCTTCTACAATGGCACTTTTTACTGTTTGCGGAGCAGCCAACTATATATCCTCATGGGGACATACTGGCCTCCCTGGTAGCAATTCAAGATTTTATCTAACCTGGATTCCTTCTTTTGAGCTTAGAACACATCAGATAATGGTAGCTCCTCAGTTTAGTCAATAGGGGTTTGGGGGCTAGTTCTACTAGGCAGTAATCTCATCATAGTCTACGTTTCCCCACCAAAAAGTTTTTGCCTGCCAGTGAGTTTTGTACATCAATTCATTATGTCCCCTTATTTTGGCTATCTCGCTTTTTTCTCCTACCAAATGGGTTAGGGTTATGATCAGGATTATTGACTGATGTTTGGTAGTTACCTCTGCAAATTTATGTACTCATGCCATAATTATAACAAGGGTATTGTACTAAGCATTTACATCTGCAGTGGACAAAAACTTTTTGGACAGCAGATTTTAACACTAGTGATGAGCAAAAAAGGAACAAGAGCCTAAGTCTTCATACACTTACAAGAAGGGATACATCAACATTGTCTTGTAGTTTAGAAATATGGGGGGTGGGGCACATTTCAGAAGCCTGTATTGTGAAGTCTGAAACTTGTTCCTCAAAAAACTGTTTTCCTGAAGTAAAATTTAAAAGTGGTGGTGGAAATTTTGCTGAATGTTATAGAAGTAACAGACCTATTAAGAATTTTTAAAAAATAGATCAAAATCAATGCTTTATAATGCCCAGGAGGAACAATGAACCTTGTATCTCACAGATAAAGGTAAACATGCCTTCTAGTCAATTACATGGACATAAAATAAAGCATTTTGCCAGTGCCTTTGTCTTGAATGTTTTTCAGCTCCTCAGACCCAGATTTAATATTCTCTTTCATCCTCTAAGCCAGTGTTTCTTAAAGTGTGGTCTAAGGACCCCTGGGGGTCCCCCAAGACCCTCTCAGGGGTCTGTGAAATCAAAATAAATAAAGCATTTTGCCAGTGCCTTTGTCTTGAATGTTTTTCAGCTCCTCAGACCCAGATTTAATATTCTCTTTCATCCTCTAAGCCAGTGTTTCTTAAAGTGTGGTCTAAGGACCCCTGGGGGTCCCCCAAGACCCTCTCAGGGGTCTGTGAAATCAAAATTATTTGCCAGATATTGAAGATATTTGCAAAAATGTAAAACCATGTCACTCTTTTCATTATTATTTATTTGTTAAAATTGTAAGGTTTACCCCGTTCGTCTCAGAGAAACTCTCGTGATACGTGTGTTCAGCAAAGAAGTTTACTCAAGCGTAACATAAGTAAGTACAGACAAAGCCAGGTAAGCTTGGCATAGCTAACATGGTATTTTATAGCTTCCCCGTTCCCGTGCTTTACCCATTGCTTAGTTAGAGATT